AAGGTGGAACAAAGGCCAAACTTAATTAAAATGGTGAACTAAAAAAATGAACTAGAACTAAATACTGTTGCTAAACTGAATCTGCAATGATGTAAAGTAATTAGCCTCCAACTAATAAAAATAAATGGAAAAAAAAATAAACTGAATCTGTATTAGTGACAAATTGAAGCAAGTCTTTATCTTTATGTTTAGAAAAAGGTCAGAAATCTCCTGATAAACTATAATTATGATTGTCATGGGAGTGAAAAATTCATGTAAAAATAAAAAATTGCATACTGACTTATTAGGTAGTTTATAAAGACATTTCATTATTCTATGTTATACTGTATATGCACAGAAATAAAATACTGATATTATCCAATAATGATGATTGAATTAAACACTGGCTAAAGAGACATATGGGTATATAAATCTTATTGGATGTTATATTTAGATTACTACACTATTCATACTGTCTTTTAGCTCATACATTTCCTCTTTTTTATTGAAAGTAACTTGAGAACAGGGACTGGTATTGATTCTACCTTTGAATCTCTAGAGCCTGGAGAAATAGCTAGCATACAGTAGGTGTTAAAAGACGCTTGCTCCTTGGAAGAAAAGTTATGACCAACCCAGACAGCTTATTAAAAAGCAGAGACATTACTTTTCCAACAAAAGTTCATCTGGTCAAAGCTATGGTATTTCTGGCAGTCACGTATGGATGTGAGAGTTGGACTATAAACAAAACTGAGCACCGAAGAATTGATGCTTTTGAACTGTGGTATCAGAGAAGACTCCTGAGAGTCCCTTGGACTGCAAAGAGATCCAACCAGTCCATCCTAAAGGAAATCAGTCCTGAATATTCTTTGGAAGGACTGATGTTGAAGCTGAAACTCCAATACATCGGCCACCTGATGGGAAGAACTGTCTCATCTGAAAAGACTTTGATGCTGGCAAAGACTGAAGTTGGGAAGAGAAGGGGATGACAGAGGATGAGATGGTTGGATGGCATCACTGACTCAATGCACCTGAGTTTGAGTAAGCTCCGAGAGTTGGTGATGGACAGGGAAGCCTGGCGTGCTGCAGTCCATGGGGGTCACAGAAGTCGGATATGACTGAGCGTGTTCTGAAATATTTGTGGAGTAATTGAGTAAATAAACAAATGAATGCTACCATGTACATGTGGAAGTTAACTGTTGTTACATGGGGAAAAATAACTCCACTCACCAGCAAGGTGTTCTGGATAAAGCAGTCTATTGCTATCACTCCAAAGCACTTCATCACAAGGCTTCATAATTTTTTTGGTTCATCTGGATTTTTGACACTTTGCTAAATGAAAGGATTCTTAGAGTTTGATCTAAAGTAAGTACCTTAATACCAAAACAGGCCAACTGGGGCCTCCCAAGTGGCTCAGTGGTAAAGAATCCGCCTGCCAATGCAGGAGATGCAAGAGACGCAGGCTTGATCCCTGGGTCAGGAAGATCCCTTGGAGGAGGAAATGGCAACCCGCTCCAGTATATCTTGCCTGAAAAATTTTATGGACAGAGGAGCATGGTGAGCTGCAGCCCATGGGGTTGCAGAGTTGGACATGACTGAGCGAACGAGCATGCACGCATAGGTCAATTGAGTGACCATTTTGGGATTTTCTCCAATGTGCATTGCATTGTGAAGACCATGAATTGATCTTCCCTACAAGCATGTACAGCCAAAAGTACAGCAAGTCCTACAAAAGCCCACACTCCCTAACACTTTCTGGTGTTTAAAACATCATTTCTATAGGCTCGGCAAAGGAACCATGAGGATGAAATTCTTGTGACCCCAAGATTCCAAGATAAATTTTAAAAAATATATTCTTCACCCAAACATTTGTTCATTTCAATAATATATTTTCATCCCTTTCACGTCCCACCTGTCTCCCATTCAATACAGGATAATAATAATATGATATAACCTACTACCTACATGCTTCCCTGAATAATGTGAGGATGAAATTGTAATATGGAAAATCGATGTCGAACAAGTTTCTCTGGGAATCTGTATCAAATTAATTATTGTGAGGGAGGGACTAGTAACAGATCAATAGTTTGACTAGGTGTTATTACCAACATAACTATTGACTGTACCGCCCTGAGTTCCAGGCACTGAGGAATTTTTACGTGAATACAGATCCTGACTGTACTTTTACTTCCTTCCTTTTGGCATTCATATTTCCATCTGAACATCAAACAACAGTCTAGTCTGTGGTTTTGATCCACTCTTGCTTCATCCTTGGTTCACCCCTTCCAAGGCCAGGAGGAACTCATATTCAAATGGAACCAGCCCAGTCATGAAAATTGGAGGAAGACAAAGAAGAGAAATTCAGTTTTTAACAAATCTACAGAGACTATTCATGCATATAGAATCAAAAAGAGGTAATTCAGTAAAGAAATCAATATGTTCTAATACATTTAGATTTCTAATGGGTATACACATTTGTTGAAATGTTGACTTAAAATTTTTATAAGAATTATGAATACTAGCT